CATTTTCCATTGTGAAGCTTTTGGAGATGTCTTAAATCGTTATATTGTTGAGAAGGGTTAAGTCTATCAATATTAGTACCTAACCAATTATGATTACTATCTGTGTCTTTCTCTCCATCCTATTTCCCCCCATTTATGCTTTTCTTTCTCCTTTCTCCCACTTATTCTTTAGGATTACATTATTTAGTTTCCAATTAATTTTTAGTCTATTTTTCCATGGCCCTTTATTATATATAATTTTTATTGCATCATGATCTGAAAAGGATGCATTTAATATTTCTGCCTTTCTGCATTGGATTGTGAGGTTTTTATGCCCTAGCACATGTTCAATTGTACTGCCATGTACTGTCAAGAAAAAAGTATATTCCTTTCTATCCCCCATTCAGTTTTCTCCAGAGGTCTACCATACCTAACTTTTCTAATATTCTGTTCACCTCCTTAACTTCTTTCTTTTTTATTTTGTGGTTAGATTTGCCTAGTTCAGAGAGGGAGGGGTTGAGGTCCCCCACTAGTATAGTTTTGCTGTCTATTTCTTCCTGTAATTCACTTAACTTCTCCTCTAAGAATTTGGATGCTATGCCATTTGGTGCATATATGTTTAGTAATGATATTCATTGTCTATGGTGCCTTTAGCAGGATGTAGTTTCCTTCCTTATCTCTTGATAAGATCTATTTGTGCTTTTGCTTTGTCTGAGATCAGGATCGCTACCCCTTCTTTTTTTACTTCAACTACAGCATAATATATTCTGCTCCAGCCTTTTACCTTTACCCTGTGTGTGTCCCTCTGTTTCAAATGTGTTTCTTGTAAACAACATATTGTAGAATTCTGTTTTTTAATCCATTCTGCTATCCACTTCCGTTTTGTGGGAGAGTTCATCCCATTCACATTCAGAGTTATGATTACTATCTCTGTCTTTCTCTCCATCCTATTTCCCCCCATTTATGCTTTTATTTCTCCTTTCTCCCTTCCCCTCCTCACTAGTGTTTTGCTTTCGACCACCACCTCCCTCAGTCTCACCTCTCTTCTATTGGCCCCCTCCCTTTTCTTCCCCTTTACCCTTACTACTTCTTCCCTCCCTTCTATCCCTGCTTCCTTTTCTTTCCCCTTTTCCCTCCTACTGCCTATAGGGCAGGTTAGATTTCTATACCTAACTGAATATGTTATTTCCTCCTTGAGCCAGATCTGATGAGAATAAGGCTCAAACAATGCTCATCTCCCTCCCTTCTTTCCCTCTGCTTGTAATAGGTTTTTGTGCCTTTTCCTGTAATATAATTTATCCTTGTCTGCCTTTCTTTCCTTTTCTCTCAGTACCTTTTCTTAGTTAGATCGGATTAATCCACTTACTTAGATTCATTTAACTCACTTGATTAGATTTTTTTCATCATTACATCAAAGGCAACTTATACCCACCCCCTTTATGTATACCCCTTTAACATGGTATAATAACAATACAGTTCTCAAGAGTTACAAGTGTCATCTTCCCTTTTAGGGATGTAAAGAATCTGCCCTTATTAATAATATGTTGTTTCTTTCTGTCCCGTTTACCTTTTTATGTCTCTCTTGAGTCTTGTATTTGAAGATCAAATTTTCTGTTGAGCTCTGGTCTTTTTATCAGGAAGGTATGGAAGTCCCCTATTTCATTGAATAGCCATCTCCTGTCCTGAAAGATCATGCTCATTTTCTCTGGGTAGTTGATCCTTGGTTGTAATCCAAGCTCCTTTGCCTTACAGAATATCATATTCCATGCCCTACAGTCTTTTAATGTAGAAGCTGCAAGGTCCTGTGTAATCCTGACTGTGGTTCCATGATATTTAAATTGTTTCTTTCTGGCTGCTTGTAGTATTTTCTCTTTGACCTGGTAATTTTGGAATTTGGCTACTATATTCCTTGGCATTTTCAATTTGGGATCTCTTTCAGGAGGTGATAGGTGGATTCTTTCTATGGCTATTTTACCCTCTGGTTCTAGGACCTCAGGGCAGTTTTCCTTTATGATTTCCTGAAAGATACTGTCCAGGCTCTTTTTTTCATTGTGATTTTCAGGTAGACCAATAATTTTTAAATTGTCTCTCCTGGATCGATTTTCCAGGTCAGTTGTTTTACCAATGAGATATTTTACATTTTCATCTATTTTTCATTCTTTTGTTTTGTTTGACTGATTCTTGCTCTCATGGAGTTATTAACTTCCATTTGTTCAATTCTAATTTTTAACAAATTGTTTTCTTCTATTAGATATTGTACCTCCTTCTCCATTTGGCCAATTGTATTTTTTAGGGACGTGTTTTCTTCAGTGTACTTTTTTCCAGTTAGCCAATTATATTTTTTAAGGACTTGTTTTCTACAGTTAATTTTTGTCCTTCCTTTTCCAAGCTATTGACCCTCTCTTGCATACGTCTCATTTCTTTTCCCATTTTTTCTTCTACCTCTGTCATTTGACTTTTAAAATCCTTTTTGAGCTCTTCTAAGAAGGGTTTTTGGGCTTCAGACCAGTTCATATTCCCTTTTAAGGTTCCAGTTGTGGGTATGCTGACAGTGATGTCCTCTTCAGAATTTCTGCCTTGATCTTCACTCTTCCTATGATAAGAATCCATTGTACGTTTCTTTTTGCTCGTGGTGTTTGCTTATTTCCTGGCCTTTAAGGAGATTGAGCTCTCCTGCTGGGGAGCAGAGGGCACTGACCCAAGCTTCTTGTGTTGGGAGCCTAGGGCCTGGTCACTGGCTTTGTGTGCTGGGGTCTCCAATGCTGGCAGTTGGAGGCTGTAGGATTCTGGCAGCTTACCTGGTGTTGGGCTGGAATCAGCAACATTGGAACTCTAGGGATAGGATAGGAAATCTCCTGGAGATTTCCTGCTTACCCAGGCCTTTCCTTCCTTTCTCTTGGTTTCCATATTTTCAAATAAAATTTCTTCACTATCACAGCAGATAACCTGTTTCTGATATATTACTATGAGGAATATTTTGACAGTGGATCTCTCACTAACAAAGAAAGGTCATCTTTTATTAATAATATTTTGCATTTGGGGATTGATTTTGTTTATGATACAAAACGACCTTGCTCTCATAAGAAATGTATGGGTTTTACTCAGACATTGCTTTGATACAGGAAGCTGTTATTCAGATGAATAATTAACAAAGTGATAAACAGTTTATATTTATTAGAACAATAATTTCATCAAAACAATTAATTCTTTTGATCTAACCAAAAGAGAAAAGAGTTAAGGAGAGAGAGGTTTGAAATGGGTTCTGTTGTATTGGATGACAGATGTTAAAAGAAGATTTGGGGATATATGAGTCCCAAGGCACACTGGTATCATGAAGAGAGCAACTTCATCATTCATCTAAAACTTTCCCCTCTGAGGTTACCAGTTATGTCTCAGTTGCCAGATTTGATGGTCTTTTCTCAGTCCTTGTCCTTCTAAACCCTGTGCTGCCATTCACACTGTCAGACATCCTCTGCTCTGGGATACTGTCTTCCCTCTAGGTTTTTGTGAAACTATTCTCTCCTGGTTCTCCTCCTAGCTGTGTGATCATATCTTCTGTGTCCCTTTTGCTGACTCATCATCCATATAATTTCCCCCTTCTGTGACTGCATCCCAAGGCTCTATGCTGGGCCTTCTTTTCTTTTCTCTTTATTTTCTCCCTGTTGCTGATCTCATCAACTTCTGTGGGCTTAATTATCATCTCTTTGCTGATGATTCACATGGGATTGATATAATTAGGCCCAATTTCTCTCCTCACCTTTAGTCTTATACCATCAATTACTTATTGGACATTTCAAACTAGATGTCCCAGAAACATCTCATAGTCAATGTGTTCAAAACAGGGCTCATTATACCCCACCCCACAAAAAAAAATCCCTCTTCCAAATTTTCCTCCCCCCAATATTCCTCTTCCAAACTTTTTTGTTTCTGTTGAAGATACCATCATTCTTTCAGTCTCCCAATTTCACAATCTCAGTGTGATCCTTGACTCCTCACTCTTCCTTAAATATAAAAGCATTTGCCAAATCTTAACTATTTCAACATCCACAACATCTCTAATGATCTGGCCCTTCTCTATGCTCAGAACACTACCACCTCCATTCAGGCCCTCATTATCCTGCCTAGTCTATCACAACATTTGCTAGTTGGTTTCCTTGCCTCAAGTCTTTCCTTGCTCTCCATCTGCTACACAGTTGTCAAAGTGATTAAGCTTAGCTCTGATCATGTTTCTCTCCTAGTCAGTTAACTCCAGTTAACTCCCTATTACCTCTAGGATAAAATGTTAACTCTTTAGCTTTTAAAGCCCTTCACAATCTGAACCCATTTTAACTCTCCATTCTCATCATATATTACTCCCCTTTCCACATCCTGTAATCCAGCCAAACTGACCTCTCTATTCCTCTCATGTGGCGCTCCATCTCCTGTCTGTGTGCTTTCACACACACAGGCTGTCCTCCATGGTTGCTATGTACTCCTTCCTTACCTTCCTTCAGAGAATCCCTCTCTTCCTTCAAGGTGCCACTCAAGCATCACCTTCTGCATAAAGCCTTTCATGATTCCTCCCAAGTGCTAGTGTCCTTGCCTCAGCCACCTTGTATTTAACTGCCTTGTGTTTATTCTTTTTACATTTATTTGTCATATATGTATTCTTGCTATTTCCCTCAGTAGAGTATCAGCTCCTTCAGAGGGGGTATTGTTTCATTCTTTGTGTCTCCAATGCACCTACAACAGATGACTTAAATTCATGTTACTTGTTTGATTGAGAACTGGCCTTGAAGTCAAGAGAGCCTGGGTTTAGATATGTACTGGCTGTGTGATCTTTGGCAAGTTACTTAATATCTAAATACCCCAGGGCTATATGTTGCAGAGAATATACTGATCTACACTGGTAAAATAGTCCCTCACTGGGAAATCACAGGTCTGGTCAAAAAAAAAAATCAGTTTTCCAAGGTTCATTATAATGAGGGTAAACTCTGGAACAAAATAAGAACCTAAGACATAGTAACTTTTTTATTCTTTAGGCTTGCCTGAGAAGACAGGAGAAGAAACGAGATCAATTTTGTAGGCAAGAGTCAAGTTTTGAGAGACCCCGACCTTCATGTATATCATCTTCCAGACAGGTACTTAGAGGTTTTTGGTCTTGTTTTTAATTTTTGTCTTTTTTAAAAAAGAGATTGCCTTGTTGCTTTATGTGTATATCAATCCAGAGAATGCTAATGTCTTTTGTGAATAGTAGATAATAGAAAATCCTAAAATGTGGTACAGTGGCTAGAGCAGTGGACAAGGAACTCTGAGCCCTCAATTTCAGTCTTGGCTGTTATACCAGCTAGCTACATCAGCATCCCGTGTTTATTTCCTCGTCTATAAAAGAATGGCTTGAACAAAACGGACTGCAAAGGACCTTCCAACTTGAAAAATCTATGATTGTCAAAGTTGGAGGCACTGCATCTTATTAGTGACTGTGTTCATTGAAATCACTAGGTTTCATTCATCATAATTTTATATGATGAAAACTCATAAATCAGAACAAGAATTCTTCTCTTAATAACTAATAGTTATATCATTATTTAGTTCTAGATTAAATCTACCCACTATTAGTTAACTTATATTTATGACCATATCTGAGAAGAATTTTATCTATCCTAGGTAAGGTCTGAGGACCATGAAGTATGTTCAAATGATATTTGTTTACTCATTCAACATCCATTTATTCAACAGACATTTATTTAGTACTCACTGTGTACTAACTGTGGGCAATATAATATAGTATAGTATATAATAGTAATATAATAATATAGTATAGTATATGATAGTACAATTAGACATGGTCTTTTCCCTTATGGACCTCTATCACCTTCTCTGTTGGTGGAGATAAGGGCATACAAATAACTTTTATATAAATATAGAATATGCAGATGCTATAATAGGAGCAAAGTGCTATGGTAGTTCAAAGAATAGATCTAGTACCTCTGACTGGGTGGTAGAAATCAGAGAAAGCTTTGTGAAAGAGGTAGCATTTAAGTTGGACACCAAAGGAAAGCTAAGAATTGAACAGATGGAAATAGGAGCAGAGAATTTCAAGAAGAATAAAATGTTCAAAGAGGGAGAGAGACACCAGGTATATTTAGGAGTGGTGAGTATCCCGTTTGTGTATTTGAATGGAAGTATTGGAAGATAAGACAGTAAGGAGGTAGGTTGGAGCTAAATCATTGAGGACCTGTGGTAGTAGGCCAAGGAATTTGTACTCTATTTGATAGGGGAGTCATTGATGGTTTTAAAGACATGGAGAGAGGACAAAATATAAAATGGATTGGAACAATGAGAGACCAAAGGTCAGGAAACCATTTAGGAGGTGATTATAGTAGTTTCAGGCTAGAGGTAACAGGGACCTGAATCATGGTAATGCAGAAGAAATGATGCATACAAAAAAAAAATTGCAGCAGCAGAAATGGCAAGTTGATTAGATGAGGACAAAAAAGAGTCATCAAAGATAATGCTGAGGTTTTAAGTATATAATTAGAACAATGGCAACATTAGCACAGATTAGGAGGTTATAAGGAAGAATAGGTTTTGAAGAAGAGTTTGGCTTTGGACATACTGAATTTGAGGCACTACTACAGTAGACAGGTAGAGATATTCAGGAGACATTTAGAAATTCATGCCTAGAATTTGGAAGAGAAGTCAAGGATTGATCAATGGATTTGTTGAAGCTGTTAACAGATGACATTGCAAATGGAGAGAGTGTATAGGAGGGAAGAAAAGAGTATGTGGAACAGAACCTAAACTAATCAACATATAGGGAGCAGGAAAAAGAAGAGAAGCCATTAAATGAGTGTAATGAATGAAGTGAGAGAATGAGAGAGTAATGAGAGAAATGAAAATAGTAGCTTAGAGAGGTGGGAAGGGAACCCAGGAAAATGTAGTATCACAGAAACCAAAAATGAGTAAGCCCCTCTTGGAACTAGGAAGATGGTTTACAGTATCAGATGTTTGAGAGAAGTTAAGGAGGAGGATGTCTGAGAAAAGGCCAATCAGTTTGGTGATTAGGTGGTCTTTGGTCATCTTTGAGGAGGCCACTACAGTAGAAAAGTGAGTGGAAGCCAGAGTATAAAGGGTTAAGAACTACAGAGTTGGTGAGAAAAGCAGATAAAGAAAGTGAAGACAGTTTTTCCAAGAAGTTTTATGGTGAAGGGAAGAAGAGGAGTAGAATAGTAACTTGAGATAATCACAGAACCTAGGGAAGGATTTTTAGGATAGGAGAGTTGTGAGCATACTTTAATATAAAGTTCAGCACTAAATATTAATAAAATAAAGATGTTTGCTTTGTCTCTGTATCTGAGTCTGTCTCCAGCTCCATCACCTTTGATTTTGTTTTCCTTTTAAAATTCATTGTATATATTGTTCTGTTTCTTCTGCCTTAATTTTGTAATACTTAAAATAAGTGTTTGCTTGTATTTTTTGTTTTTAGTTTTATGTTGTCATACTATTCCATGACCTTCCTATGTTTTCGTGCTTAAAGCATCTGTAATTTTGTTAGTGTGGTTACTTCCCTCCACTGATACAGACCACAGTCTCTCTGATTTATCAGTTGGTTTTCAAGAGTTGCTGTGGCCAAAAAATCAATATTCTTGAGGCCAACCCAAGTGATGAGCTTTTCCAAATTTAGCTGGACTGGTCCTTGGACCAGATATATAGGCCCATTATGGGGCCTGTACTCAGAGCATTGCAGAGCAGGCATTATGCTAGCATGGCCCTCAAGCATTCGGGGTTCTTTCTATGCCATGATGTGATTTCATGAATGCGATATACTATAATTTATTAATACATTTTCCAAATAGTAGATATAGGTAATTATTTACAGTATTTTTGTTTTTGCTTCTACATATGAAACAACCATAAATATTTTTATGTGAATAGTTTCTTTTTACCTTTTCATAGGGTCTTTTAGGATAAAGCTGTAGCAGTAGAATTGCTAAATTAAAGGGAACAGAAACTTTTGTCAATCTTTATGTGTGTGTGTGTGTGTAGCCATGTTTCACTCCAAAAAGTCTGCACCATTCTGTGATACAAATGTGCTAGAACTTTCCCATACCTCATCCAACAGTGATTTTTTTTTTTTAAATTATCTTGGCCAATTCATCAGATGTAAGTTGGGATCATTAGGTTATCTTGATATGCGTTTCTATGATTATTAGGGAATTTGAGCACTGTTTTGTGTGATTATTAACTAATTTTAACCCCCATTTAGAAAATCATCTATTCCAGGGATGAGGAACCTGCGGCCTTAAGGCCACATGTGGCCTTCTAAATCTTTAAGTGTGGCCTTTTTTTACAATTGTTCTGGAAAATTTGGATTCAGTCAAAAGATGTATTTTAGATAGGTAGATAGACAGATAGATATAGAGCCAGAATATATTTTTAAAATACCTTCTTCCCTCCTGTTTTAAAGATGAAAAAATTAGGTGTAGAGATATGGAGTGACTTGCCCAAGGTCATACTGGCACTAAGTGAACTTAGGTCCTCCAACTTAGAATTGAGCACATTTTCTGCTGTGCTTTGTTTTTGTTTTTATCAGTTTGTTTCTTATTATGAACTTAATCACCAGTAAAACAGTTCTCAGTTAATATAAGGAATAAAATCTTACATAAATGTGTTTATTTTATATCCAGGTACTTTACTAAAGTAGCTTATTATTTCAGTAAATTATTATGATTATGATTGTGATTATGATTATTTTTGGTTTGTTACCTTTGGTTTTCTAGCTATATATTCATGTTCTTTATAGGAGCAGTTCTTAACCTTTTTTGTATCCTGGCCCACCCTTTAGCAGTCTGATGAAGACTGTTAATCCCTTCTTAGAATAAGTTTTTTTTAAATGCATAAAACTCATAGGGTTGCAAAGTAAACTATGTTGAATTATATTATTATATGAAATACAATGATCAAAAAATTTTTTAAAAATTTACTGACCATAGGTTAAGAACCCCAGTGCTACCAATAGAAACATATTAACATCTTTTTTCATGGCTTATTGCTAACTTGTATTCTTTATCTGTAAAATGAAAGGTTTGGACTAGGTAACCTTCTAGCTCTAAATCTTTGTTCCTATGCCAAATAGAAATGACCAGGTGGATAACCTTGTTTTATACCTGGTGTACCTGTTGTTGTTAGGATGTTTCTAGTGTTTTTTTTTCATACATACACATGCACACAGTTATAAAATTAACTTGTAGTTTTGAATATGTACTTTTAAATTACATTAAGGAAATATTCCTCTATCCAAATTTATTAATGTTAACATAAAGGAATTTTGTATTTTATTAAAGGTTTTCTATGCATCTAATGATATGGTCATATATTTTATATTTTTCCTTTCATTGATATTATTTGTTTTTCTAATTGTTTTCCTAGTATTAAATTGTATCAGTTATGTATCCTACTTAGTTATTATGAATCTTTTTTATGTATGGCTGCATTCTAATTTTGAGTATTTTTTTCCATTTAATGGTATTTCATTTTTTCCCAATTATATGTAAAGATAGTTTTCAATCATTCATTTTTATAAGATTTTGAGTTCCAAATTTTCCTCCCTCCCTCTTTCTTTTCCTCCTTCCTTAAGACAGCAAGCAATCTCTTATAGGTTATACATGTACAATCATGTAAAACATATTTCTACATTATTCATGCTGTAAAAGAAGAATCAGAACCAAAGGGGAAAACCACAAGAAAGAAAAAACAAAAAACGAAATAAAAGTGAAAATAGAATGCTTTGATCTACATTCAGACTCCATGGTTCTTTCTCTGGATGTGGATAGCATTTTCCATCTTGAGTCTTTTGGAATTGTCTTAGAGCATTGTATTGCTGAGAAGAGTTAAGTCTGTCATGCTTGATCATCACACAGTGTTGCTGTTACTGTGTACAATGTTCTGGTTCTGCGCACTTCACTCAGCATGAGTTCATTTAAATCTTTCCAGGTTTTTCTGAAACCCACTTGCTCATCATTTCTTATAGCACAATAGTATTCCATTACATTCATATACCACAACTTATTTAGCCATTCCTCAATTGATGGGCATCCCCTCAAATTCCAATTCTTTGCCACCACAAAAAGAGCTGCTA